TGGAATGCATTGAAACCTGTTTAATGCGTTCCAATGGGAAAGAATCGTTGTTGTCTAGCGAAGATCAGCCATAGGAAAGCCGCTTTGCGAACCGCCAATCAGCTGTTTAAATCGCTGTCTTGCGAAGCTTAGGTCCTGAAAACATGTTTTGTGAGAGCGGAGGAAGCTGTCAAAATCGTTGTCTAGTGAAAATCGGTTTGCGAAGCAGGGACCAAACATTATCCAGCGAAATTCCCCAGTAGGAATCATTGTTTTGCGAATCGCTATAGCCATCACAAAAAGTCAATGTCTGGCGAAAAAACTGTCATGCAGGGTAACTGTCTAGCGAGGCACCACTGTAAGAGTTCAGCACAAGCATCTGCAACAGTGTAGCAAGGTGTATGATTCAGTACACAACAGCAAATGCCTATACTGACTTAAATTGTGGCCAAATGCCTCTGAGATTTACATAGATTGCCTTCCACCAGTGAGTATAACTAGCAGGATACTGGCCAATAAGAAACAGAGGTCATTTTTTTTTACTCCGAATTTCAGCATTCAATGAGATAAAGTAATCTCAAAATGTTAACTGCACCAGATAAGCACTTTTGCATATCAGTAATATCAGTGCAAGAACATTTTTAACACTTCAGTTGAATTAGGTTGGATTCAGATTTTGTCACTGAAGTCCTTGTGACCTAAGTGAGCCTAACTCATATATATATAATTGATTGATTATATATAAATCAATCATATATATAAATATAATTGATTTCAGTGGTCTGCTTTAAGTTTGGATTCAATAAAAATGGGCTTTAAGAACACCCAGATCTACACAGTTTGATATAACTGAACCACATTATCAAGTCTCCGCAACATGTGCCATCCCTTGTATCTAAGTGTCACAAACCATATTGAAAGACAGATTAGAAAAATACATGGCTGAACTGGGCTTTGAATTTCTTCAACTGTAACTCAGGATATGTCTTCCAGACCTTTCACTTTTCTGGATATCAACCTTTCTCTGGACAAGTTCCAGCTTGTTAATATCTTTCATAAACTGTGGTGTCCAGAATTGGACACCATACTCATGGTGGATTTGGAACAGATGAGAGCAAAGTGATGAGAGCCTATTTCCCTTGATCTGGAGAATACCATTAATTCCGCCAGTGCAATGTAGAATGACATCTTCGCCTTTTGTTGCTGTATCACACTGTTGACTCAGAAAGGTACTTAGAAAGATCCTTAGATGCTTTTTGCATGTTGTGCTGCCAAGTCAAGTGCAGGTGATCAGTTTAGACCATTAACCAATTTGATTGATCCCTTGCTCAGCAGCCCATTGTGTGGGGAGAAGGAAAGAGATGGAGGGGTAAAAAGATAGGGTGAAAGGGAAGAACAGAGAGAAAAATGATGACCCATCCACTTTGGACTGTGGCCTTACTTACCCCCTTGTGGTTTAAGACCTGCCAAGTGCTGACAGGTATGTGTGCGCACAGGCACACACACAAACTGCTGACAAGAACATGTGTCCCTTAACATAAACAAGAAGACACCCATCCCAGGAGATGGTGAACAAGCTGCTACCAGTGGGTTGGTGCCACAACCAGAAGATGACATAAAGACCTTCATGTTCTCCCGGTAATGTGATTCATCAGTTCAGTGAGTTCAGCTGAATGTCATAATATCAAGAAGAGTGGGATTCTTCCCTTGTAAAATGCCTCCCTCCCCCACTCACCCACTCTCTCTCTCTCTCCCTCTTCCAGATATCCATCACTGCATTGAGTCCACTGCCATGCTGCCCATGATGATAGTCTGAGGATGAAACTTTATGACCTTAACTCGAGGTGGTCCTCAGGTGATGGGGGCTTCAGGTCAGCTCTCTGTAGGGGCTGAGATGACAGAATCACATCTCCCTGCAAGCCTCTGGCAGAGCCACGGCATCACATGGGACACGTGCACTACTCTATTATTATTTTTATTATTATTCCCTATATAACTCCTGCTGCAGCTCCTTGAAGGAGAGAGGAGGGGGACCGAGAGCCGCTCCAATTCAGCGGCTCTGCAGGTGCAACCATATTTGCCAGCCCGTGCCTGCTGCTGTGGGGGAAGGGGAAGGGCTTTTGCTGCAGCCCTCTGCAGAGTCTCCGACCCTTTGGCCAACCTTGGCCGGCGGGCTCGGGGTGCGGGGCGGACAGAACAGGACGGGAGTGGGCCTCATCCAACCCACCGCACCCTTTTCGGATTTCAGGCGACCTTAATGATCCACTAACCCACATGTTCTGACGAGCCCGAGTCTCAGCCCCCCCCCCCGACTCCCGGCCGAGTTCGTGAGCGCGTGTGGGCCCGGCTGGTGCGGGTCGAATTCCGCAAGCGAGGGCAGAAAGGGCCGCTGAGGAGGGGGCGGGACGAGAAGGCGAGGGCCGGCGATCCCGGGAGCAGGCCGCAAAGGGGAGCCTTGAGTCAGGGGCCGTTAAGTCAAGCGCAGCCACCTGCTTGGCGCCCTCGACCAGAAAACCAGGCCCCTGAACTGGCGGTGGCCGGGGCGAGCCTCCAAGCTGTTCTTCCCGTCCCTTCTCCCACCGGGCGGGAAAAGGGAGCGCCCTCCGCACCCGGCTCTCCCTCACGAAAGCTGAGGGAAGGGTCCCGCAAATAAACTTGTCGGTGGCCGGTCCCAGCTGGCCAGGTGAGACAAAGTCTCCCTTCGGGAGGCGGGCGTCGACGTTACAAGCGGCCGGGCGTCGGCGGGCGGCAGGAGTCCTGCCCGGGGGACTCGCCGCCGGTTCC